AAGGTTTCTAAGGGTTAAGAATTCTAATTAATATGGAAGGAAATAATATGTGTTTTCAGCAAAAGAAGATATAAGGTATGGAAATGCATTTTTAAGGAAATTAAAAGAAAATGGTTTGTCCTAAAATAAGTTGGTTACTTCTGAACAAGAGACAAACTAAGAGGGGCAAGGAAAGTTTCCAAAGATTTGTGAAAAAGGAATCTTGAGAAAGGAATTTTATGTGCCGTCAAGCTAAATAAGATTAAAATGAGTTTCATTAAGTAAATGAATTTAAATATCAAAAGTAAGCTGACTCAAAATTAAAATTTCTTTTTCTCTGTTAAAAGGATAGTTTTTCTGTACTATTGGTATACTCTTAATAAGAAATTATAAAAAGAAAGCAAATATTTTGTTTTATTAAAATTATTTTCTGTCCCCTGTACCATCAGTTCTTTGATTGCTTGGGTAAATAGTCTTCTTAATATGAAGAGCTAAATTTTGCTTACAACTATTTAACTTTCTGTATTTGCCTGTGAAGTTTTTAGTTGTCACCATGATTAAATAGATAACCAGGTATTGTTTCACAGTGACCTATGATCCTATTTGACCAATTATTTTTAAACTTTTGATATGTGTGACAAAATTCCCCAAATTCAAAAATTAGAGTCCTTTTCTTAACCTAAAAATAACTTCTGAGATTTTACAGATGACTCCATGGAACATTCCCCCTCTCTCTTTATGAAAGGAAGGAAATATACTAGTTAGGTCTACTAGAGGTGCTAAAATTACATGGGAACGTTGTCAAATAAGAAGCAATAATTATGTTATACTTGCATGCATAAATTATTATTATTAAAATAAATGTTCTGGGAATTACATTAAAATTCTAGGAATCTACAATGTCCTGATCTAATGTTTTCATTTGTAATTCTAATTATCTTAAAATGCTGTGAGTTGCAGAGAAAAGCAAATTTTTTTGTCAATTGCATTGTGATCAGATCTTTAACCATTTCATTTTAAGTCTGTCATTTACAGAATCACTATTTTACTCTGGGGTTTTTTTGGTGTGTGTTTTTTTTTTTTTTCCAAATATGTTTCATCTTCAGAAAGATTCATGTAGAGAATCCTGACACTTATTCTAAAATACATATTTCTGTTTAACTGTTAGATTATACTTTAGAGCCGGATGAGGATTTGCAGAACTCTAAGGGAAAATTGGATTCCTAAAACTTAAAAGAGTAAGATCAACAAGAATTAATGACATGGGACTGAATGAACTGATGAGGATGATTACAATTTTTATGACTTTTTATTTGAAATATTGCTGATTCTTTACTCTTTTGTTTTTCTAGATATAAGGAAACCTTTTTTCTTTAGCAACCTATGAATTACAGCAATTATACCTTTGCGGAATTGAAACATTTACCTTTTTCTACCTACTTGATCCTGCCAGAATTCAGCGACTCTCAATGAGTATTCTTATTTTATGGCAATACTGTTATTTGCACAAGTTAATAAGACTCTGTTCTCCTTGTAACAGGATACAAGTGGAAACTCACTGGAATGTCATATTTGAGAGAGACATACATAGGTTCAGATGTGAGCAGACAGCTTCTAGGAATTAAGATGGACTTACAGAAGCCAATAAAACCCTTGGATCTCTCATCCTGGCGCTCCGCTTGCAGCACTCTCAGAAGCCTTACTAGATGAGTGAAGGTCACTTCCTGGCAGGTGCAGGAGCCTCAGTTACTCTGGGGACCTCAGGAAGAGAGGAACTCACCCAAATCTATAGGTTTTGCAGGCGATGTCTGATAGCAAGTCTTGTCTTAACTTTTCTGGCCTCAAGGGGCCTTTAAAGTTCAATCTGAAGATTCCTTATGAAAAATTCCAGCAAAGGAGATTTTTAAAAGCCTATATGCTGTTCCTACATAAATAACAGGCCAACTTTATTGAAACTAGACTTATTTCACAAAACAAATTGGTCTTGGCTGTATTTGGTAAAAATGAGGGTTTTTTTAGAGAGGAAAAATTATGTTTAAGTAACACACCTTTTTAGGTATTAGATTCTAGTGTTGTTCACTATCTTTTGAGGTTTTGCTCATAGCTGCAAACTGGACCAGATCCTGAATCCTTGTTTCCTCTAATATCTGTCTATGACTCTCTAAACTAACATTTCCAATCTTCCTCCCGTCCTTTGACTTGTAATGCTTGAGAACTAGGATTTCCCAAAGCTATACAAGCTAAAGTGGGACAACTTGGTATAAACTTCAGAGAAATCACCACAGCAGCTCATCTGTGGACAGCCTTTGTGCCTGTTACAGAAAGATCACCAGAGACATTCAAACTGCTGACCAGGAGAACTGTCAGACTCTCCCTGCCTGCCTTCACTCCACCTGAAGGTGGTTCGAGCCAGACATCTAGAAATCTCCGTGCCTGGCTGCCTTCAGGACTCAGGAGCTGGGATTCCAGTCTGCTCCAACCATTGAGCACTGTTCTTCTTTCGTTTCCATAGAGACACCTCTTATTAAACACCCAATTATTTGCACCAGAGGCTGAATTTTGGGAGTCACCTGCATCATGGCCCTCAAAAATGAGAGATAACTCTTCAACTGAACTGACCTGTTCTCTGAAACTGATACATAATAATATGTTAACTGGTCCTTTCCTGATGCTTCAGCCTAAAAATTGGCACAAATATTGAGCTGACTATAAATTCATATGTGGCAAGCATGTCTCTAGCCCATATCCGCACTCTGAGGGGCATGATGAATCCAAGGAAGGCTTTGCCACCTTGGTATCGAGGGACTTTAAAATGTCTTGTTTGATCTATGATGTTTTCTAAGAGGATAATCCTGATCAAAAAGCAGAAATGAGTAGAGTGAAGAAATAAAATAGAGTCATCAGTCGGCGGGGGAAAACCATGCGGTGTGCGCAGGGGTGGGGTGACCCGCTGGGGTGACCTAGATAGCTTGGGCGTCCGGTCCCCCTCTGCCTTTTCCAGCTGGGCCGAAAGTCAGTCATGGGGTGAGGGGGCTGCGTTACCCACACTTGCCCACTCATGGAAAGGGGGCCTGAGTGTGAAAGAGAGGCGAGAACTTTCCTTCCCCCAACAGGCGCCATCAGATTTTCCTCCTCTCCGCGCCAGGTTCTCCATGGCACCCGGGCACCCTCCCAGTGCGCGCCCTCGGCCTCCTCCCCTCACACCCCAAGGCGCTGCTGTTCTGCCCCCGAGGAGCGCGGCCGCGGGGCGCGGAGAGCCCCCCTTTCCTTAGTGCCTCCTTCCCCAGCGTGGGCAGGGGCCCAAGGGAAGGCCGCAGCGCGGGGCCGCGGGGCTGAGAGTCAGGGCGCCTGGGGACGCCCTGGGCGCGAGGGGCTCCCCTCCTTCTCCCTCCGACGGGCCCCTGCCGGGCAAGGCCACCCAGAGGCAGAGAGCGGGCGGCACCGCAGACCCCACCCCGGGATCAGGACCTGCTCCCAGCACCCGGAGAAGCACGGAGGACGCTTCGCCCGCTGTGCACCCGCCCTGACCCCCGACGTCAGCTCTGCGCTCCCGCGGGCAGCACTGAAGCACATTCTTTATTTCCATCAGGCTCGAGATCAGTTTCCAGACAGAGTCCCGCATTCCTCCTCCCACGGCCACGGGGGCCCGGCGCCTGGGCTGACAGACACGCCCCGGCCTGCGGGGCGTCACCCCACCATCACCGCCCCGAAGAAGGTCTTCCCGCGCCGGTAGTCCACCAGGTCGGGGTGGCTGATGTTCAC